AAAATGCTACTGAACCTGAAAACATACCTAATAGACTCCAAAACATATATATATTGTAAAATCATCTCAATACCATGGTTAAAAGTGGGTCAAAAGCATGGTAGATCACTTACATAGTCTTTCAATACTTTCTTGTACCTGTTTTAAATGAACATAAAATTTGAATAGTAAGTCCATTTGGAAGATAAAGAAATATTTTTTTTCACAAGAAAACATACCTTTCAAATGGATACATCCATTGGAAATGGACAGGACCACCAAGTCGAGCTTCTCTGCCTAGATGCACACAGAAGTGAACACGATGTCGAAGAAATTAGGTGGCCAAAATCTTTCAAAAATGCATAGTCTTCACAATATCAGTTTCCATTAGCTGAAGTTGTTCCATATCAATTACTCGTTGGCATAGAAGGTTGAAGAAAGCGCTTACACGGAAAATGGCTACCCTAGGACCCTTAGGTAGTAAGCCCCTAATTGCTATTGGCATCAGTTGTTGCATTAGGATGTGGTAATCATGAGATTTGAGTCCCATCACCTTACACTCGTCTAATGATATAGAACTAGATATATTAGCACAGTAGCCATCAGGACCTTTAAAATTAAACAGCCGCTTACAGAATGTGTGTTTCTCTGACTTTGATAAAGACCATGGAGCTGCTGGGAGTAATGTCCTTTTACCCTGAGCTTTTAGATGCAAACCCTTCCTGATACCAAGACTTTCAAGATCCTTTCTAGCCTTTATACCATCCTTTGAATTGCCACAATGTGGCAATCAAGCTTGCAGCCACATTCCTCTCCACATGCATAACGTCTAGATAATGCCGAACAGAGAGCTCCTTATCATGTCAAAGCAAATAAAGAAATCAATCGGAACAAGTGTTATAGAATTAAACATTTAGTAAATCGAAATTTTAAACATACCTCTCAATAAGGCAACGAAAAAAAAAATCGAACGACAATTCCTCTTCGTCTTTGTCTCTTATATCTTCATCTTCATTAGATTCACTTAGTTCCTCCTTGTTATCAGATGGTATGTCAACTCGAGCAGCTCTCTTTTTCCCAGACTGTTTTCTATTACCAAAAACATTCTTGTAATTTCTCAGCACAAATGAGACATTCCTACCCGTGAGTATCCTTCCCTTTGTCCCATGTTCAATTTTCCCATCAAACCAAGTCTTCTTTCCTCTGAAACTATGTAAGAGAGGCAAAGTTTTCCGGTGGCCCATGAATACAAATTTCCTACTGTTACACAGCCACAAACTATGTGTGCTTCCCGCATATAGGACAACCCATTTTACCCTTCACTTTACAACCAGCAAGATTCCCATATGCCAGGAAATCAGTAATAGTCCAAAGAAGTACCTTATGCGTAAAGTTTATCTTACTAACTACATCGTATGTTAACTCGCCTATGCACGACAAATGACTTAAATCTTCTATCAGGGGTTCTAAGTATACATCTATACTATTATCCAGTTGATGCGGTCCTGGAATCAGCAGAATGAGCATGATGTTCTCCTCCTTCATACATAGGTCAGGAGCCATGTTGTAATTCACCAGTAACACATGCCAACAACTGTATCGGTTGTTCTTCATACTGAAGGGATTAAACCCATCTGTTGAAGGCCTAAGTCGCAAGTTCCTCTCCTCCGCTGCGAACGACGGATGCTTTTCATTCATAGACTGCCAAGTAACAGAGTCTACTAGATGGCGCAGTTTCCCATCTGTGCTCTTGTTATTGAAATTCCATCGTAAATCCATTGCAAGTTGGTCCGATCTGAACATCCTTTTCAGACGAGGTATTGATGGAAAGTATCTCAAAACCTTTTGTGGAACACCTTCTCAATTTCACCAGTATGCATATTGGTCTTCCATCTAGACGCCTTGCATTTTGGGCAACTCTCAGCTGTCTTCAGCTTCTTTCTAAATAAGAAACAGTCGTTCACATAAGCATGGATTTTTTGATATCTCATATCAAAAGATTTCAAAAACTTCTTGACATCATAAGTTGATGTGTGCAGAACATTGTCTTCAGGTAACATGTCTGGCAATGTTTGCAGTAAGTCATCAAAGTTCTTGTCTGACCACCCATTCTGAGACTTAATCCTAAACAATGAAACTACAGCTGATAGCTTGCTATGACTCGCACACGTTGGATACAAGGGGGTTTCAGCCTCTGCAAGTTTTGCTAAAAACTCACCTTCTTTCATGTCCTCTTCCTCAAATGACTCACGTAACTGTGACCCCCGAATCGCTAAATCTACAACTAAGCTGTTTGCGGCTTCATATAAACTAAGGATCTCAGCATTCCAGCATCTATCTTTAACTTCCACTACATCAACAGAGTTACCATCTCCATGGTGAAACCAATCCGACCGTACCTTGTAAGCATCATCCATTCCATTTATAACCAAATGAGAGACAACCTCCTCACTTGTATGGCGATCTAGATTACGGTATCGGCGCAGGGACATACAATCTTCCCATTAACTCCTAACTTAGCAGTAACAGCATTGACAAAACTCCGCGCACCTGTCTCATATGCAGAATCAACTCTTAAGTTTGTGTAAATACAAAATAAAAAAGAAGTTATGACAAGAATTGTTGAAATGCATAAACTGAACACTTTAACAAATGTACATACCTACATAAATGCACCCATGACTTGTCCAACATTTTTAAGACCCTTGCCACAGTTCAAACAAGCGTACATGGTTCAAGCAGCAATGACAACAAATTACACTTCAAAGTGTTAACCACAAACAACAAACGCAATGTCTACAAAAGTCTACAAAGGATTACAAAATCAGAATAAGTAAATAGATGTGTCTAACCTTCACAGAATATAGAAGATGCAAGATTGTGAAGACACGAACCCACACCTGCAAAAAAAAAAAAAAAAATCTGCGATTAATGGAAACAAATATGAACCCAAAACCTAACTAATCACAGCATTGAGCAACCAAAACCTAACTAGTTTCAGAACTTGAATCTATCGACACTACGAACTCACTTTCAATTTAGAATCTCGGAGTTGATGATGGCTGAATCGAATTGGAGACTCGGTTAGGATGAGCGAAGAGAATATTGTTGGTGAGCGACGAGAAATCGAGTCGGAGATGGTGGAGAGAGCGTTGAGCTCGATGTGGAGACGAAGAGAAGACGGAGAAAACGAGAAACCCTTTTGCTTTCTTTCTTTTTTTTTCTAATGCTATGAAAAGTATTGGTTTTTTTAATTGGCCAGGAAAACCCCTTATTTTTTTCTAAGTGTTGGCGCTAATTGTAAAAAATTGGATGATTAGTGAGTTTTTAATTTCCGTTTTCTGATTTTTCGGCATAGCATAAGTAAAATGCTATAAGTTTGTTATCCAGGCTTCCAATTACCTTTCCACAGCACTTACGAAAATTGTGCTATTATAATCTGCTATCAATACCTATATTTGTTGTAGTGAAAATTCTATCTAAATAAATGGTCCCATTAAAATTAGAAATTAATAATTTCTATGCATACATATTTTATATAGGTAAGAACCTATCATTCTATTGTTTGTTTTTGTATTCAAACCGGAATTATGATTATATGTTCTTAATACTTAAATAGATTTTTGATCAGAGTTAGTAATATATATTTAAAATAAAATTTACATTCTATGTAATATATATATTATATACACCAAATAATATAATATATTTAATATGAATGTAAAAATTCAAAAAATAATAGTTAATGTCTATACATTAAAATCAAATATATTTTTTAGTTTAGAATAAATATATCTTGTTGCCTAAAAAAGAATAATAGATCTTAAAATAATAAAAAAATTAAATAAATAAGTTTTATAAATTAACATCTCTACAAATTAATAAAATTCCAAAGTCTCAACATTATTAATTTATAGAGGTTTTACTGTACCATTACCAATAAATACCAATGAGCATACAAGTAGTTTTTTGAACATACAGTAAGTAATTAATTAGTCTCAAAAGGTCCAGAACATATGGTTGATTTAATATCCCAATTCTTAAGAGTAAAGGCAATCGATCCTTGGTGCATTAAAAAATAAACCAACACTAGATTTCGACCCGCACAACCGTGCGAGTATTTTAATACAAATATTTTGAAATTATATAGTAAAATTTATCAATAAATAAATATGATTTGATTCTGTATACTATCCAATTTATAATAATTTTTATGTGACTTATAATATTATTAAATATAAAACTTATAAATTTGTATTTTTGTAACAATTTTAAAAATATTATTATGTAACCTTACTAATTTATACATTTTTTTATTTCTTAATTAGAAATATATGTAAAAAGTAAATTAATTTGGACCTACATAATACATAAACAAAATTTTGGGATATTTTTAAAAGTATTTTACATAATTTTAATTTTTTTGTTTATAATTAAAAATGAATTAAAATTTCAATTATATTTTATGATAATTAAACTTTTAATCAAATAATTTTGAAACTATATCTTGAAAAGATTCTAATATATTTTGTTAGAATTTTCTTTAAAATATTTATTTGTATTTCAAATAAAAGTTAAAAATATGAAAAGATGTTATAACGATGTTATGTAAAATTTTATAAAATTGTAAGGATGGTACAAACTAAAAAAACACACATGGAGTGAGTCATAACTTCTTTTTTAATATAATAGATGAAAGTTATATCTTCTCACTACACCGGAATACTCTTACGTTGGACAAGTAACTAATTAAAAATTTGATGGTCACATAATCATAGGCATTTACATTGTACCATTTCTTTGACAATTGACATATTGTAAGACTATTAGTTATGATTATAACAGTAACTACTAACGCATGGAAGCATGTATTTATCTTGTACGAAATGCACACATTTCAGGAGAGATACATATGTGTGTGTGTATATATCAGCTCAAATTTGGGATGGAAGATGAAACAAGTAACCACGAGAAAGAAAAAGAGAAGATCAATCTTTATTGAATTAGAAGAAAATAAAAAGATGAATGCCACAAAGTTTGTTGTGCTGATCTTTGTAGGAGTGTTATGTGCCAATGTTGGCGCGAGGCAGCTCGAAGATGTTTCCCGGGAGACAAAATTAGGCCTCTCTATTACCAACACTACCAATACCAATGGTTAGGAGCTGAGCTTGACAGAGCTATTGCTTATACGGGTGCCTACAATTCAGAAAATTCCGATGCTAGTGCTGCTGCTGGTCCTGACGGTCCCAGCGCCAGTTGATCTGGAAGTCTCTATAAAAGTACAAATGGATATGTCAATGCAGAAGGTCCCAACGCGAGCGCTTCTTCTGAGAGTAGCGCTTTCGGTGGCATCACTGCTGGTGCTGCAGCGGGTCACAATGGTGCTGCGGGTACTGGAACTGCTTCCGGATATGCAAGAAGCGGTACTAGTGGCGCCACCCCCATTAGCCCTTGAGCGATGATCATCTTCTTAGACTCTCAACATATACTCAGCAAACTCAACACAATCTCTTCTGTATTCATAAATAAAAATATTTTCAACTTTATTAATTATGAGTAGATTTTAATCCGCGCAATCATGCGGATGTTTACTTTCATTTATATATTTTACAGATATTTGTTTTATATATATATATATATATATATATATGTGTATTTTATTTTTTAAAACGTTAAGCATATGATTAAAGATTTGTAATTATTTAAAATATAATAATTTTACATGTTGTAGTTAATCATTTGTTTCAAACTATCACATGTATTTGTCTTTTCTTATTATATATTTATCTTGACGAATTTACTGTATTCTTATTAATTGGATCAGTATATGCATGAAGCAATATATTTAACATAAAGTATATTACTTTATCAACTTAGTATACTTTTATCCTATTTAATTGAGTATAAAAATTATTTTAATATGATCTACTATGATTATAAATTAAAAATAGGATAAAGTTGTATTTTTCATTTTATAAACAATAATTGAATATATATTAATGTATAATAATATTTTATTATTAATTACAAATTGGTGAAAATATTTATATAATATTTTTAAAATTGAGATCCTTTGAAAAAAAAAATTTTAAAAATTTCTAAAATTTTTAAAATATATTTCTTTATTTTTAAAATTAAAAGATATAAAAAGATATTATGATTAAAGTAGTTACATATATTTTATATTATTATTGTTAAGTAAATACATTTATAAATGTCTGATCAATGCTGAGGCTGAAAGGAACCACGGGGGAGAAGTCTTGAATCAATGCAGAGACTGAAAGGAACCGTCTTTTTAGTGAGCTAGGAAGGAACCAGGGTCACATGATCAATCTTCATGAAGAAAGACGGGAAGAAGAAGGAGAGATTCCAAATCCAGACAGTGGTTTACAGAAGGGACACCAGGTAGAGGAGACGATCAAGTCACCTACTTTAGCAGGGCAACAACAGCTGGAAAGCAAAATTCAAATCAATACAGCAGAGGTAAGTGTGGAACAGATTCAAACCAAATAATGTTTAGACTTGGGTAATGAGACTTTAGATGAGGAAAATCAGAACATTGATGATGATGGGATGGAATTAGAAGGAAATTTGTTTATTATGGATGGAGGATATGATATTCTGGAATCCGATGATGATTTCCAAAATCTTACTGATGGAGAAGAGAAGGATCGCCTCACTGATAGGAACAACGACGAGGTGAGGAAAGGGAGTGAGGCTGTCGAGAAAAAGAACCCTACTGATATGGAAAAGGTAGAGGTGATGGAACCAACGGTTGGTGATGCAGAAAAAAAAAAGAGGGAGCACGTAAGCAGTTTTCCACAGGCATAGGAGGAGCTGTAAACAAGAAGTTTGCTCAAATCCTTCTTTCACCTCGTAAACATTTGCTAGCTAAGCAGGGGATCCATAAAGGGGGTGGATCAAGGCAGGGGGAAGTGAAGGGTACTTTAAACCCGAAACTGAGTGAAAAATGATGAGTCTTTATGGATAAATGTCTAAGAGCATCCACAATGGGAGTCTTTAGGGAAAAAATAATTAAACAATCGGTAGACCTCATAAAAAGTTAAGGATTTGATCCTTAAAATCCCTAAATAAGGACTGTTTCTTAGCGAATCCTTACAATATTTGCGGGTTCCGAAGACACGTGGCAGCCCGCAAGTGGTCATCTTTTTTTTCTTTTTTTTTTAAAAGATCTGAAATATCCTTACCAAATCCGAATACCCTTTTTCTTAAGGACTCCTATGAGTCTCACGGTTTCGGATGCTCTAACAACAAATGAGAAAAGGGATGGAGTGATGGGGTTTGTTTGTTTTTTTAAGTTTTTGTTTTAATAAGGGAAAATTCCTTAAAAATACCCAAACTAATTTTATTTTGCTAAATAAATACATGAACTATTTTGGCTGCCCGAAAAATATACAGACTAAATTGCATTGTCCACAAAATACATGAAGTTTTGTAGGTTTCACACCGGGTTTTTAACGACGTTTAATCAATTTAACAGAGAGTTAAGACGACGTTAAAGCTTAATGAAACACGTGCTTAAGCCGTTAAAGATTTGGTTTCTCTCATAAAATCCCCAAATTGATTGAACACAAACCCTAATTTTATTTCTTCTCCTTTTTTTCTCAGAATCTCCAGAACAAACTGATGTCACTCAAATTTTTAACCTAAGGAGTGATTTACTCTCTCAAATAAGAGGTTCAATCGTAGTACTTAGGGATCGAATCCACAAGGAACTAGAGTCACAAAAGATATAATCCTAAGTGAGTGAGCTAGGTTGAAAAGGTTTAAAACAGTAAATAAAATAGGTAGCAATGATAAGTTGCTAAGGAAAATAGGTTTTAGGTTTGTAAACAATGAAGAGAAGTAGTTAGATTCAAGGTTACTATTCAGAAAATCAGGATTATAAATCTATGGATGTCTTAACGAATTACTTGCAAATATATGAGAACTTCAACCCTTAGACAAATCTATAGCTGTCGCTAGTTAGACTTGTCCATTGATCTGATTTCCGACTGCATCGATCGATGTTGCTATCGCTGTGTCGATCGATATAAGCTGCCGTCGATCGATAACTCTAGAGGAGTATCGATCGATATAAAGTATCAGATCGGATCGAAACTGTGTTCACCCGAGAACTTCTATCAGACCGGCTGTCGCATCGTGCCTTAATAGAGTTTGGGTTTAGCCAAATGATTTCAGGAAGATGACTATTAGATCAGTCACTCCATAATCAATACTCTTGGTAGCAAGTCTAGGTAAGCATTAGGGTTCATTTGGATAATAAATATAACAACTCAACAATCCATAGTTGGGGATAATCCCTCATAACTATTTGAGCCCCAAATCTAACATATGAATCTACTCAGACATAGCCAAAAGATTCATAGCAAAAAAATAAGATGAAAAGAAAATGTTTTTATTGCTAAGTATAAAATAGAATACAAAACTTGGTTCAAAACTTCATGTCTTTCTAAGGCTCATAGGCATAGCTATATATATGGAGTACAATTAGGTTAAAAACTTGTCAGGGGCAGTCTTGTAATTTTGTGAGAACTTGAGCTTCAAGTTGGCCAAGTAAACCTTGCTCATCATGCTCTGTATCGATCGATGGTACATTGCGTACATCGATCGATGGAGTATCTCGACTTCAACTTCTACGGAATAGTCATCGATCGATTACACAAGGTGTGCATCAATCGATACGTGTCTCTTAATGTCGGATCTCCACATGCAACTTGTAAAACTCTCCTTTAAACTCCATAAGGCACCTAAATCATCACTTTACGACAAAATGCTCATGAACCTGAAAACATACCTAATAGACTCCAAAACATAGATAATTATAATAAAAACATATAGAAAATATGACCAAAAGCGGGTTAAAATCATGGTATATCACAAACCAAAAGAGATGGCTAAGAGTGAAGGCTCGAGTTCAAGTGCAATCTCATCCTATAAGAAGAAGTACGATGGTTCTTTATGCTACTGCAAGAAGAAAACGACTATGGCAAAGGCGTGGACAGATGACAATCCCGGTCGAAGGTTTTGGTTGTGTGATTCTCATGGGTTCGTGACTTGGGTTGATACAGAGGAGCAAAATGGATGGCAGAAGAAGAGTTTACGGGAGGCCATAGACGTGATGAATCGTCAGAGAAGAAATCAAAGACTTGAAACAGTCGCTTAGGATAACTTCTCAACAAACCACAGCTGGAGATTCAACTGCATTATTGTTGGAAGAAGGGGACAGACTCGCAGATGAAAAGAAAAATCTTGAAATTGCACTCATAGCATTGGCTCAAAAGGAGAAACTGGTAAGGCAATTTGTTGTTCTTTCGTGGGGATGCTTCATTGTCATCACAATCATCATCATTGTTGGAATGGTGAAGAAGTAGTTATGGTTTGTGTCTTATGTTGTCATGTTTCAATAGGATCTATGTTTCAATGTTTCATTATGTATGTGTCTTAGTTTGTCTTGGAGTGCTTGTGTCTTGTTTTGTATTTTCGATGGATCTGTATTGGTTTGTGATTGTTGTAGTAGCATCCTTTTCATCAATGAAGTATTTTCTAGTTGTTATATTTTGTGTCTTCTTCGTATCATCTTGGTTAACAATAAAACATAACATAGACAATCTTAAATAAGTGAGAAAAGAACATCATAGAACATCATCCTACAGAGTTTTAACAACCAAAAGAACAGCATCTTACAGAGTTTTAAGAGTGAGAAAAGAACATCATCCTACAGAGTTTTAACAATAAGTGAAGAACATCATCCAACAGAGTTTAGCAGTGAGAAAGAGATAGATCCTAAGAGTCTGGAGGTTTTTGTTGAGAACCTTGTGAATTATGATCAGCAGCAATATGTCCCCATTCATCAAAGACACGACCAGAGTAAGGAGCAATATAGCAACCAGACTCTCTTGGAACATAAGGCTCACGCCCGCGACTTCGACCACGTCCTCTCCCTCTTCCTCTCCCGCTTCCACGGGGATGGCCACGTCCTCTAACACTTGGAGCATTTGAAGACTGTGGAGCAGTTGAAGGTTGTGGATCAACACAAGGTTGTGTGCTAACCGGGTTGGGTGTGGACTGGTTTTGAGCATTCCTCCTCTTCTTCGGTGCATTTTGAATGCTCCATGGATCCTCCTTATTAAGACAAGCATATATGAAATCCAATTACACACACATCTATAAATAAAAATATATATACAAATCAAGTAGTTACTTACTTGAGTTTTTTTTTGCCGTCCTCTTTTTCGTTTAGGAAGTTCAGGAGCAGCTTGTCCAGTACAAGTTCCACAATTATGACAGCATACAAACACGAGAGAGGTTAAGACACTCACTCTTCAGGCTCCTTGTTATGCTTATTGATGACATAAATAGCATGCTGGCAATGTATCCCAGTGATGTCCCATCGATTACAAGCACAATGTTGTTGTGGAAGACATACCTCGT